ACATTAATGAGACGAGGGTAACTTGGTATATTTGTGTAAATGCAACTGATATTTGATAAGAATATGTTAGAGAATATATTTCTATTTTTGAACACAAGCTTTATAGCATGTCTTTAATTAAAAATTCAGATGAAGATTCCATTCTTATCAATTACACTTCATCTTGCAAAACTCAATTTGGCTGGGTTCGTCGAAGAATCATTTTAGCACAACTATTTTTAGCTGCGGATTTGTGAACAAGCCGGATTCTTTGTATACCATGTCCGAAACATGCCTATCTTTTTATTTTATTTTCAGCACAACTCAAGGAACCAGATAGTCTCCATTATACGATTACCCTGCTGTGATACCACTTTTGAACTATCTGCCCAGCTGACTCGTTACCAAACTCCTAAATGTTCATTTAAGCTAAATTTTCATACTTCTCAGTTAGTGATAAAATTAAATGGGTCTAATTAGAATCTGACATAATCAATCTATGGTGCTTTAATAGTCGTGAAATATGACGGTACGAGCATTATACAGAGACATAAAGCTTCCCTTGATTGATCAACGTGAATGATAACAGAATTTTAGAGTACATGATAAATTTCATTGCAAAAGTAGCCCTTTTGTCAATTTGTTGTGGACTAAATAGCTTAAAGTATAATATTAAAAGTAAGATTTTTTATTAACGACTAGATGACTGGAAGATATGTTTTACATTTGTTAAATAAATGTACCCACTAGAAACGATCTAAACAATAATTTAGGTTAACTTAAAAATGGAGGTTGTAGATAAGCTTAGAAGCTCCTGCGACTGGAAGATACTAATCAAAGCATTGTTTCCGAAAATGGCTGAGATCGTAAGCGTTTTGGGATCTTATGAAAGTATCTTTTTCATGAGAACGGATGATGCTGTTAGGACAATTAGAAAAGACTTCAAGCACTTAAATCACTCATCATTTCCATGCCAGAGCAACAGTAAAGCAAGGACTGATTAAATTTCGACTCCAAAACGATATCGAATGTTGAGTATATCCCTCGACATCGGAAGAGCTCTGCTTCCGGTTTAATCCACATTAGTAGTAGCATGACAAATAAGGGGGAACATGAGTAGTATCGTCATTTGATAGAGCATTATCCATCATCCATATCTGGAATTACCCTTTCCTGATTTTCATTCTAAATTTTGGTTTGTTAACAATGCTGCTCTAAGACAATCATCTGCAAAATATGTGTTTAAAATCCCGCAACTTATTGAGTTGTTATGACTGTTAAGAGAAAATTTGGTCTATTCTATCATGTTGTTTGGCCAGTCAGAAGCTTCCATAATTTTACCTTAGACCGACAAGTCTTTATCAATCTGTACTAGAGCTCGTCAGGACTGAGCTATAGCTCCGTTTCATTTAGCTTGTTAAAATTCAGCTGTCTAGTAGATTTTCATCAACAAGACACTCAGACGCTAAAACGTCTAATCGGATGAGGTGACATGCTCGCCACTTTGAGAAAAATGGAGTCAGTTGACTTGCCGATCTTGAGGAAATGGCAATTGTACATTTGCTGAAGTTAGCTATGCGCTAAAGGGGAAGCCTTCACTCACTTCGTGATGCATTTTTGACTGATGAAAGCTTCTATCTACACAAACCTTGAATCTTCTTGGGCAGATTGAGAATGTATATAACACGTTCTTTCCGAATAGCCAGCTTTATAACCAGAATTACTTTTTTTTATCTGTTTACTCCAAAAATATGCTGATTTTACACATATAAACTCGTTACAATTAAGCTATAGCATGTTCTATCTAGGTTTTTATTCAACAAAGATGCTTCTTTCAATATTGCTACTGCTTTCTGGAGTGATCGTTTTAGAGCCACCGAGGGTCATGCACCAGTTCGTCTAGGGCATTGCATTTTAGGATTGTGCGGAAATACGCACACCATTCTCGTTCTCCATAAAAGAGGGCATTTTACAATCTTGATGTGTCTTGAAGTGATATAAACCTTTGGCGATCGGACTTGATATGCCTAAAAAATGTATGCAAGCTTGGATTTCACCCTGGAGTACTGAAAACACATGATTTTATTACTGCTAAGCTATGTTTTAACGATGATATTTGCTTGCAATAAGGCTAATTTTAGTCTTAATGACAGTTCAACTTACATTTCATGACAGCGATTCCAACATGCGATACCACCTGGTATTTGTAGTCATACATTTGTCGCCAGGGAAACAATGTCTAATTCTACTTTCCATGTTATTTGCACCAAAAGGTCTGATCTCACTGAACGAGTTTAAAGCAGCTTGTCGCCACTTGAATACTTGCCGACTGCCAGGAACCAACAGCGTGGATGAAGAGGGCATTTCAGATCTGGCCAAGTCGATCGACTTGAATGGGGACGGCGAGATTGACTTCAATGAATTCCTGGAAGCATTCCGAATTGTCGACTCCGACCGACAGCGCAATTCTGACGAAGGTACTGAAGAGGCAATTGAAGAGCTCGACCTTCCGAAATCCGCTGTAGCGAGTCAGCGGCGTGGTTTATTTAAATAACTTTTTCAGAATCCATGCATGACTTAGTTTTTCTTCAGCGGCTTCTGCTTCACACATCCTTTTGTCGTTTCTTCACGGTTTTTCTTCAAAACGTGTCCAACATGTTGCGTTCGAGGACATTCGTAATCAAGCAACCAGATATTTTTTAATGGTACAATCAACTTATCAGTGACGTATGGCTTCCCTCAACCATGTCTATTAGACATAAATGTGGGAATGAGCCTGGCTGGTGAAAGAATAGGCTATTTTAAAGCATCTTCCTTGCTGCTTCATGAAGAAGTGGAATTATTCTCTGACTATTTTTATATCAACTAAAGGCATTAGAATGAAACAACGAAGAATGCCTCATTAATTGACGCAATAAACTCGCATATATATTTGTATGAGTAGATTGAAGCCATTTTTTAATATTTGGCTCCAGAGGCATAAAGCAAATGATGATGTCATTTAAAGTGAGATACAATGTTTGCGAACATTAGGGAAAGCTATATGTTGTATTTTTCATGTTGATTCTACTATCTATTATTTGAAGCCTTTCTTTCCTTGAACCCCGAAGAATGTACAATTAAACTTGAAAGTTGTTCGAGTCTGCATATCATAGCAACCAAAAGTAAAAATGTAAAGTGTAGTAATCAAGTT